CCAATTACTGTGGCCAGGGGGATGTGGTTCTTAGACTGGCCAGGTCTGAGACACATTGCAAAGGCCCCTATTTGTGCAGAATTGGCCCTTGACTAAATTCCCAAAGGGTTTTGGATGTTTGGTCAGATGGTCTGTACCCTGGGGGGATCAACTCATACCAGCAAGATCCGATCAGCCCCCACACCTACCACCGCCTCTCTAGCCGAAGCCGCTTTGGCATCTAATTGTTTTGGGAATTGTGTTGGTTTTCTATTGCTGCTGTAACAAATTGCCACAAATTTCATGGCTTATAACAACATAAATATATTATCTTACAGTTCTGGTGGCCAGAAGTCCAAAACCAGCCTCACTGGACTACAGTGAATGTGTTAGTTCCTTCTGGAGGCTCTAAGGGACAATCTTTTTCCTTGTCTTTCCTGGTTTCTAAGAGGTGGCCTCCATTTCTTTGGCTCATGGCCCCTTCCTCCATGTTCAAAGCCAGCAGCAAAGCATCTTCTCTCCTCTCTGACTTCTGTTTCCATCCTTATATCTTCTCATCAACTCTGATCCTCCTGCCGCCGTCTTAGAAGGACTCCTGTGATTACATTGGGCATACCCAATTAAATTCAGATAATCTTCCCATCTCAAGATATTTAATTCAATCACATCTACAAAGTCCCCTTTTACCATGTAAGGTAACATATTCACAGCCTCTGTGGGTTAGAATGAGAAGATTTTCAGGGGATCATTATTCAGCCTACTGCAGGGATTATCCACTCAATTTCAAAACCTGGACTTAGAGAAAGAGTGTACTGAAGCTCCTGCATTGGAGTGGGGAATTGTAGACAGTCCCTTAGGAAGGTGACTTTGTTACCTGCTTGTAGGTTTAGTTATTTACAACAGCAAAATTTATTTGCCTCTTAGGTGTATTTAGATTGTCCTTTCTGAGCTGTTTGTGGGTCTTTATCCACAGAATTGTGTACTCATAAAAGAGGTTTCCATGTCACCTCAAAGCCACCAGGTTCTTATGAGCCATACCCATTATCTTCCTTCTTCATTTTGTTTATGGCAATTACTTTGTGCCCACTAAGTGGGAAGCAGTGTGCTGAGGAAATACAAGATTCTCCAAGGCATACTCCGTTCTCTTGTGGAACTTATGTCTAATGGAGTAGAAAGGCACACACACAATTATTTTTAACCCAACGTGCAGGATGTGCTAAGTGATGTAAAAGTGACAAACCAAGGAGTGGGAAGACAGCAGGGACATCAGGCCAAGCCCCCAGGGGCATCAGATCATGCACCCCAATTTTTGGTTCAGAAATATGATCACTGAGGGGCCAGGCGTGGTGGCTCACACCTGTAATCCCAGCACTTTGGGAGGCTGAGGCGGGTGGATCACGAGGTCAAGAGATCGAGACCATCCTGGTCAACATGGTGAAACCCCGTCTCTACTAAAAAGACAAAAAATTAGCTGGGCATGGTGGCGTGTGCCTGCAATCCCGGCTACTCAGGAGGCTGAGGCAGGAGAATTGCCTGAATGCAGGAGGCGGAGGTTGCGGTGAGCCGAGATCGCGCCATTGCACTCCAGCCTGGGTAACAAGAGCGAAACTCTGTCTCAAAAAAAAAAAAAAAGAAATATGATCACTATATGCACCTGAATTTCAGTTTATTAACTATTGCAAGCTAAGAATTTTAGGGCTTAAAAAATAGTATGATATATTTTTTCTTCTAGGTGTTTGGATCAAAATAGGTGCTCAGCTCTGATGATTCAAGTGAAATTACTTCTACTCAAAGTTGACTAAAGTTGGGGACAATGAAAATTTGCTAGCCAAAGTAAAAATTAGGAAGAAGACCTGGTTAGTTTTCTTATTTTGTGCAGAATCTGAATGGGTTAACTTCTGTAACCTAGGTCATACTTTTAAAAGGACAGATTTCCCATGGCTGACCTGCAAATACCCAGCGTGGCTGGCTTTCCTAGTTGGACAGATAGCTCTTTCTCACGTGTCCTTTCAGGGGTGAGGGGAATCTCTACTCAGAGCTCCCTCTGGCCCAGAATGCAATTTTAGAAAATACAGCTGACTTCTCTGGGAAAAACAAAACCAACCTTGTCTTACTCTGGTCATGGAAACCAACTTGGCACCTCATTATCGCCTTGTTAGCAAGAACAGGCTGCATGATAGACAAACCTGGGAGGAAGAGTTGGCCCTGTGTGGGCAGGGTTTTGAGTTAAGCTTAATTGCTCTTCTAAAGCTCAGCTACTTAATACTACACAAGTCGAAATCTATCATCAGACTCTTGACCATCCATCCTCCTCTTCCTTCCGTATTCGTGCCGACATAGACATCGGTGCGTCCCCATTCTGCTGCTGTTGAATTTGTGCTGGCCACCCAGGGACCCCCAAGGCTCCTTTGCAGCCAGCACGACTCCCCAAAGGAGAACAAGGCTGTACCTACCTTTAACCTTGAGCGCCCCCTGCCCCCGTATTTTGAAATGTGCCAGCCTGTTCTGTCCTTGGAACATAGCAGGGCTGCTGGCTGGGGAAGGTGGTGTCACTTTTTAACAACTTATAGGCAATTTTTTATTTGTCATGCAAATGAGAGAGAATAACAAAGGCATTTTTATCTGGCTCTCGAATGTGCTTTGTACTTACACTGAAATGTGAGTGTGCCTGATGTTCTGGGAACTCCCTTCCAATAAGACAGTGTGGCAGCCCATGTCGCTTGCCATGTCTCCCTTTTCCTCCCCACCTGAGCTATCCCCGAGCTTCTCTCATTTTTGTTTCATTGTCATTGGATTTTTACTGAACAGAGCCTGTGATAGCAGAGACTAAGTTGTCCCCATTATGCCGCGTCTACCCCGCGCTGCCTAAGCATGCTTACTGTACAGCATGAATTATCTATGGCAACCCCAATTTCCAATTTTCCAGTCCCCTTCTTCCCATTCAAATGTCCTAGAATTCCAGTTCATCAACATTCTGAACATATTTCCTGATGACACTCACTTTTCAGAGGGGAATTTAAAACCTAGAAAATATGGTCTTAACCAAAGAGCCCTGCCTGTGGTAACCACATATCCCAGATGTTCTGGGAAAGTCTGTCCAGTTTCCAGACCATGCACGCTGAGTTTTGGATAGGTCACATGAAAGACACATGTCAGACGGACACCCTTTCTACAGTAAGATTCAGTGAGAGTCTACCACTGCCACTATCTCAGATTCAGATTTTTTGACTTGTGATTTTTTGGTGATTCCTTATGTTAGTTGGGTTTGAGAGCTCAGTTGAAGGAAACTGTGATATTGTGATATTTGGTCTTCATCAGGTTTCCTAGCATACAACTTCAAAAGTCTTTGGAATCATGTAACTATCTTTTTGTATGCTAATGGGTTGACAAATGTCTGGCAGTCCCTTAGGGCCTCTTTAGGATGGGGTCTGGTTACTGGAAAGACCATGGCAGGATTGAAGGGTTGGGAGTTTTAGCCCCACCCCTAATCTCGGGGAAGGGGAAAGGAGCTGAAGGTAGAGTTGATCACCAATGACCAATAATTTAATCAATTATGCCTGTGTAATGAAACCTCCATAAAAACCCAGGAAGGACTGGGATGTGTGGAGGGAGAGGGGAGTCCCCGGGAGGACAGGGGAGCTCTGCGCCCCTTCCCACATGCTTTGCCCCATGCACCTCTTCCATCTGGTGTTCATTGGTATCCTTTTCAAATGTCCTTTCGAATAAGCCAATAAGACTAAGTGTCTCCCTGAGTTCTGGGAGCCTCTCTAGCAAATTAGTCTAACTCTAATTTATAGCCGGTTGATCGGAAGTATGAGTAAAACAACCTGGGGCTTGTGATTGACATCCCAAGTTGGGGGACAGTGTTATGGGGCTGAGCTGTCAATCTGTGGGATCTGACGCTTTCTCCAGGTAGATGGTATCAGAATTGAATTGGAGGACACCCAGCTGGGGTCCACTGCAGAACTCGTTGCTTGCCTGGTGTGTGGACAAAACCTCCTACACATCTAGTGTCAGAAATGATTCGTGTTGTGAGAGTATAGGAGATGCTGAATTTGTTTGTTCCTGTATTCACACAGGAAGACAATTCATGTTGCTTTTGGATGTGAAATGAGCACAAGGATGAAAATGTGTTTGGCAAAAATGTAAACACTATTCATTCTGTATGCAGTTGTGAAGCCTGCACTTTTCACTTAACGTTAGAGCATATAGATCTTCTCATGTCATTAAACCACTTTAATGGTTTTTGTTTTTTGTAACAGAGACCTTGGCAAATTCAAGATAGTGTTTACCATTGGTAATGATGGGGAAGGGTGAGGTGGGGAGAGCTGGTAACCAAGGGAGATTTATGGTGTTGGAATGTTTTCTATCTTAAGCTTGGTGCTGGGTACCCTTTTTTGAATGTCCTAAATGTTGCGTAATGAAGTAGAAATGAAAACATCACTAGTAAATCATTACTTAATATTTTATTATGTTGCTGTATTATAATTTCCTCAGCTCAAATCCCATCTCCCTGTTGTAGGATTTTTGTAATTTTCAACTTTGAACTCTTAAATAATATAGCATTGAGCATCTTTGGGTATCAATTTTTGTCTGCATTTGAGCTCATTTTCTCAGTTGAGAGTTATCAAATTCAATTCTAGGGCCAAAGACTATGGCTTAAGAAATGCGTTTTATCAGATGATCCTTTAACAAAGCTGTATGAGTTGCTTATTGTCGACATTGTGCCTAGTCCACTCTCTCCAACACCGAGCGCCATTTTTAAAAATTGCCATTTTGCTAGGCAAATATTTGTTTTGAATGGTTTTAGTTTATGTTTCTACTTACCAGTGAGATTGAACATTTTTCTATTGGAGTTTTTAAAAAAAATATGAGCACAGGTTTTGCAGATTCACTTGTATGTGGGACCTGTATGGGAAGGTCTTGTTTATGTGGGAGGGGGGAGCACAGATAATGAAGAACAGTCCCTTGCCCCCCTCGTTGAAAACCAGCTGTGCATCTAGACCTCTGTCTTCCCACAGTGCTGCCAAGCTCCTGGACAAGAACCCATTCTCGGTCAGTAACCCGAACCCTCTGCTTCCTTCACCTGCCAGCCTCCAACTGGCTCAACTGCAGGCCCAGCTCACCCTCCACCGGCTGAAGCTGGCACAGACAGCTGTCACCAACAACACTGCGGCTGCCACAGTCCTGAACCAAGTCCTCTCCAAAGTGGCCATGTCCCAGCCTCTCTTCAATCAACTGAGGCATCCGTCTGTGATCAGTGCCCCTCACGGCCATGCTGGGGTGCCCCAACATGCTGCAACTATACCCGGTACCCGGTTTCCCTCTAATGCAATTGCCTTTTCACCCCCCAGCCAGACACGAGGCCCAGGACCCTCCATGAACCTTCCCAGCCAGCCCCCCAATGCCGTGGTGATGCATCCTTTCACTGGGGTGATGCCTCAGACCCCTGGCCAGCCAGCAGTCATCTTGGGCATTGGGAAGACCGGGCCTGCTCCGGCGACAGCAGGATTCTATGAATATGGCAAAGCCGGGTCTGGCCAGACGTATGGCCCTGAAACAGATGGTCAGCCCAGCTTCCTGCCAGCCTCAGCCTCAACCTTGGGTGGTGTGACTTATGAAGGGCACTACGGTCACACAGGGCAAGATGGTCAAGCTGCCTTTTCCAAAGATTTTTATGGACCCAACTCCCAAGGGTCCCATGTGGCTGGTGGATTTCCAGCTGAGCAGGCTGGGGGCCTGAAAAGCGAGGTCGGGCCATTGCTGCAGGGCACAAACAGCCAATGGGAGAGCCCCCATGGATTCTCGGGCCAGAGCAAGCCTGATCTTACAGCAGGTCCCGTGTGGCCTCCACCCCGCAGCCAGCCCTATGAGCTGTACGACCCCGAGGAACCAACCTCAGACAGGACGACTCCTTCCTTCGGGGTTCGGCTTAACAACAGCAAACAGGGTTTTATCGGTGCTGGGCGGAGGGCCAAGGAGGAACAGGTCTTGCTGTCTGCGAGGCCCCTGCAGGCTCAAGAGCTGAACGACTTTCACGGTGTGGCCCCCCTCCACTTGCCGCATATCTGTAGCATCTGTGACAAGAAGGTGTTTGATTTGAAGGTGAGTTGTCCAAGACAGGCTGGGAGCCGCAGCTGGGAGCCTGGGCAGGCTTTTCCCCACGACCCAACTCATGCTGCCAGTGGGCAAGGAACGGTTGCATTGGGATAACAGAATTTTGCCATCAGTATTCTTGATTAAAATCATAGAAATTAGGACCCAAAGGAATTTCAGAAATGTTTCAGGACCAGTCCCTTGCTTGAAGGTGAGTCAGAAATCCTTACACACTTTTTATAGATGAGAAAGCTGAGGCTGAGTGGGGGAGCAAAGGATCCCACCACCTGGGTTGCAGAGACAGGGCTCAGGAACTTGAGTTTCCTGCCTTCTCGTGGAGGGCTTTTCTGCCGTGGTATGCTTGGAAGCTACTGCCCCTTGAGTACCCATACTGTAGTGAGTTAGAAAGGAAAAAGAGCAGAATTTTGGATCGGGGAACCGATGACTTCTCACTTGGAACCTAGACAAATTATTATAGAGAGCCTTGGCTTCCCCATCTGCAGAATGGAGATAGAGCCTCGTGACACCTTCCCGGTGGTTGGAAGATGCTTTGAGTTGCTGCACACAGAGGTGTATGATAGTATAATTTTCCCCAAAAATTATATTCACTGTATTGCAGATGCAGTGAAATATTTTGAAGTGATAAAAATTATACCAATTACCATATATTAAACCCTTTCTGTGTGCCAGCAGTAACTCATGTGAGGTAGATACTATTATGATTTTCATTTTACAGATGAGAAAACCGAGGCCCAGAGAGATGAAATGACTTTCTCAGCCCCTCCCCGTATCACCTCCCCAGCTTGAAAGTGTCGGAGTGGAGATTCCAACGTGGGCCTGACCCTTCCAGAACCTGCACCACTTAAGCATGGGGCTGCCCGCCTCCCATTTCCCATCCTGTCCAAAAGCATAATAATGTCCTTGCGGAGTGTGGGTCACACTGCAGCGTGTTGTGCACCTCTGCCTGGGTCACATCATCCAAGTGCATCCCTGTGGCTCAGATGGGACATGCCCTCTGTCCTCCAGTCTTGGGAGGGAACTAGCTGACACTGGGAGGTACCCAAAGATTTTGTCTCTCATGAACCTTTTCTAAGGTTTTATAAGTCACTGTGAGTCTACCTGCCAGATTCTCCCTATGAAATAGGTGGGGTCTTCCTGGGGTAAAGGAGAAGGGGTGGAAGGTGGGTGGTGGATGGTGGGTGCAAGGATCCATTGAGAGGGGGTAGAGGGAATCCAACTTGTGAGTCCAGGAATCCAACTCCTGTTCAAGATGGGCATGAGATGTGCGGATGAGGGGCTGATGGAGCAAAGGCTAGATGGGGAGGCAGAAACAGCGCGAGGAGCCGAGGAGGGAGAGGCGGCAGGTGGGGGGATGTGTCCGCAGGTGGTCCGGCCTCTGGGCGCTCTGTGCTCCCTGCCTGGCCGGTGACTCTGTGCTCCTCCTCTGCCCTCCCATGGCCTCAGGTCTACTTTGGTGACTTTTCTTTCCTTCTGACCTAGGACTGGGAGCTGCATGTGAAAGGGAAGCTGCACGCTCAGAAATGCCTGGTCTTCTCTGAAAAGTAAGTGCTGTTCAGAATAGGCCCATGCACAGGCTCAACACATATTCATTGAGCACTTACCGTGTGTCACATGCTGTTTTGAGGGGGGGCGATAGCAGAGACCAAAATAGGCAAAGTTCCTGCCCTTCAAGGAGTTGTGCTTAATAGGGGCTAGAGAGATGATAAACAAAATCAACAAGTAAATTACAGCATCCCTGGTGGTAAATGTTGAGCAGAAAACACCGGGGCAAGGAGGGAAGAGAGGGATGTGTGTGTGTGTGTCTGTGTGTGTGCGTGTGTGTGTGTGTACGCACACCTCCCTTTTCTGGCTTTCATTTTTTTCACTGTAGTAAGTTCACATAGGATTCACTATTTAAAATATTTTGAAGTATATAATTCAGTGGCATTTAGCACATCCACAAGATTGTGCAAGTGTTACCACTCTCTAGTTCCCGAACATTTTCCTTATTCCAAAAGGAAAGCCCATGCTCATTAAGCAGCCACTCCCCATTCGCCCTAAGCCAGCCCCTGGCAACCACCCATCTGCGTTCTGTCTCTTGTGGATTTGCCTGTTCTGGACATTCCTGTAATTGGAATCATACGATATGTGGTCTTTTGTGACTGGCTTTTTTTTTTACTTGGCATAACATTTTCAAGGTGCATCCATCCATGTTGTAATATGTACAACCTTTCTATGGCTGAACAATATTCCATTACATGTATATATCACATTCTTGTTTATCCATTCATCTTTTGATGGGCAGCATTTGGATTGTTTCCACCTTTTGACTATTGTGAATAGTGCTGCTAGGAACATTTGGGTACAGTTTTTGTTTGAACACCTGTTTTCAGCTATTTGGGGGTATGTAGCTAGGAGTGGAATTTCTGGGTCATATGCTAATTCTTTGTTTAACTTATTGAGAAGCTGGTTTCCCTTTTTCGCCCTCTCCAGTGCTGGTATCCGGTGTATTCTTAGTTCGGCAGAGGGAACACTGTGTGCTTCTCCTAACAGCACAGCTGTTTATCACCCTGCTGGGAGTGAAGGTGAGCAAGGCCCTGCAGGTCAGCAGCTTGAAGCAGAGATGGGCTTCCCACAGGCATATTACGTCCTGTCTTTAATGACGAGGACTTCTTTGATGTCCCCTTCTTATGTATTCTGGGCCCATTGGTATTCTCTGAGATACTTTAGACATAAAGCTTTGCTGATTATCAACATGTCCAGAGGTAAAGTCATGCCGAACACCAATAATATGTGAAGGGGAAATGTTCCGTTTTCTATGCCTGCTTATGTCCTAATAATGACTTTCGACGTTATGTATTGGGTTTTCATCTAGTTTATGTAATTCATCATTTAGATTATGCCTCAAATCTCGGAACATCATATGCGCCCATTCCAGCAAGGTCCTTTGCTCAGTCAAGTCCCACATTTCCTTTGGCTTCCGCGGGGACAAATGTGAGTATAGAAACATTTTCTCCAGAAATTAATGAAAATGATTATTAGTTTATTTATTTGTTTATTTGAGACAACCAGGCTGCAGTGCAGTGGTGCAATCATAGCTCACCACAGCCTTGAACTCCTGGCCCCAAGTGGTCTTTCTGCATCGGTCACCCAAAGTTCTGGAATTCCAGGTGGCCAACGTGCTGGGCGTACAGGTGGGAGCCACCATACCCTGCCTTGAACACCTCTCTGTGTGCCAATCACCCCAAAATGCTTGTTTCTTTTCCCTTCACTGTGTTCTTCCAGCTCAGTATGCACCTGACATGCCAAAGACTCTGAGGATGTTAACATCTTTTTCACTTAAAGAATAGAGGGTTGGCAGGATTTTGAGGTCCAGACCCATTCATTCCTGGTGCCTTTCAATTTTCCACTCTGGGAATCACAAACTCTCCAGTTTCCAAGATGACACCACCAGAGGTGAGATGAGCATGTGACTCAGGCAGCCAAGGAGATCATCCACTTTCTGGCCGTAGATTGGTTCATGAATGGTATGTGCCTGTAGTCCCAGCTACTTCGGAGGCTGCGGCAGAATAATCGCTTGAACCAGAGAGGCAGAGGTTGCAGTGAGCTGAGATCGCGCCGCTGCACTCCAGCCTGGGTGACAGAGCGGGACTCCATCTCAAGAAAAAAAAAAAAAAAGAAAACATTTTCTCCATTGTTAGTGTTGTCCTCAAGTGTTTGTAGTATCACCTGCTATGCCTGGGTCTAGAGGTGCAGATCTGGCTTTATGTCATTCAGAAAAAAAATCCCCAGACAGAGGTGAAGAGCCGTTTAATCCAGTTCATCTAGTATTGAAACACATGACTAAAGAAACTGACACAAATCCTTAAAATTGAAGGCATTCCTGGACTTTCTAGCATTCAGCGCTGCCTTAGAAAAAAAAGGACTATGTACCAGTAGCAGCTACTGGCCTCTTGAGGAAATGGTTGGTGCTGTATAATGTTTTTGTTTGTTTGTTTCTTTTTAGTTTTGCTCTGTCTCTACAATATACACTTTAGTCCTCCAAAGCTCCTAACCTTCATTTGTCCTTTTTCACCAGTGGTAACAGCTCCCTTTCTCTCTGGAGTTTCAGTTGTTTTGCTCCACCACCCAACCCCCTCCCCCCCATCTGGCTTCTCTTATTCTCCCCTGGGCAGGAGAAAGGGGAGTGGGGGGGAAACTGGCTGTAAAACAACATGCATTTGTCTAAGCCCTGCTGGAGGACACGCGTTTGTGTGCCTTTGTCTGTGCCTTTGTTTTAGTGGTGTGAGTTGCTGCAGCCTCTTTCTCTCTTCTCCTGGGAATGAACACAAGCTCACAAGAGCATGTCTCCACGTGCTGTCCCTTCTACGTGTTGGCGTGCAAAACCTCAGGCCAGCAAGCCATGAAGTGCAGCTCTCAGGCTCTGGGGAGTAAGTGGAAAAGCAAGGTGGTTCGTAATGAGATGTGAGGCCTGCCTGAGCCCAGGCTTCTGTTTATTTGTGTCTGTTGATTTGTGATGTTGAATAGGAGAAACTTGGAGACAGTGCCTGTCTGGAAGCCCAAGAGAATTTTGTGGTTTCTCTCTCTGGGCTCTGCTTGCTCAGAGCCATGCCCAGGTCAATGGCGGCTTGAGGTTGGTCCCAGGAGACTGCAATCGCTAGATTCAGTAAGGCCTGTCCTTTGAGGTCAGATTCCTTGTAACATGACCTTACGTCCTGATGGGGGTGTGGGCCATGAAGTTACCTCTGTGCTCGCAACCCTGCCCTGAGACCCCACTCCAGGCACTGGGGGAGGGACTGTGACCCCGATGGGAGAGGCTGGATTGGGTGTCAGGTGGGCAGGGGCCAGGGCTTGTGGATTGACTCCAACCTGGGGTGGAAAAGATGTCATCGGCTGAGCCCCCCTGTAAGAGGGAGTGGGTGGGGAGCAGAGAGACACAGGCAGGACATTCTGCAGTCTGTCCCAGGCCTCTTCCCCTCCCTCCAGTGCCGCTCATTGAGCCAGAGACCCTTTCCTATGGACTTGGCTCTAGGGACCTAAGTTCAAGTCCTACTCCTGGAACCACCCCTGTGTGTCTTCGGGCAAGTCATTTTACTTCTCTGAGGCTCTGTTTCCTTAAGGGGAACAATAACGCCTTTGGAAGATAGTAAACAACTGGGTTTTCACCCAGCTTGTGTAATTTATTATTTTGATGATTCCTCAAATCTCAGAACATCCCATGCAGCCCCGCAGCCCAGGCTTCTGGTTCAATGGCCAGCACCAGACAGTGGGAGCCAGGCTTGGGATAGACACAGTGTTGTCCTGCCCTTGTGAGGATCAAATGAGATAATATAAGGGACAACGATTTGGGAACTGTCGAGTACATATGAAGTAACCGTGGCTGCTCTTGAGTAATGAGCACTTTTAACCCATTTTGGCTGTGAAGAGTAGAGGGGAAACCCCTCCTGTCCAAGGCTGGCTCTGTCTACTGGCCATAGGATTTCATCTGAGTCTTGGTATTAGTGTTCCCCTTACACAAATCTGTCTAGTAATACCCAGAGTTGCACTTGCTCCACCTTAGAAATGCTGTGAGGTTCCCATGAATGCACTTGTAAATTACATACCAGCGAGCAAGCACAAGCAATCTGATGATTTGTGTATTGATTCTAATTAATTCCTGGAATCTCTGAATGCAACATCCTCCAAACACCTGGAGATGGGGAGTTTATCTGGCTTGAGCCTGGTGAGAAGCAACACAAGAAACATTTTGCTTTCTGAACTGGGAGCTAGCAGGGGTCAGGGAGCCCCAGACATTGCAGCATGATAACAACAATAGCCAACATTTATATAGTGCTTATTATGTTCTTAGCGCTTTTGTTTTGTATTAGCTCATTTCATCCTCTAGACAACCCCGTGAGGTAAATACTATTATTATCCCTGTTGTACAGTTGGGAAACTGAGGCTTAGAGACACTTAGTACCTTATATAAGGCCACACAGCTGATAAATGGAGGTGGTGGGATTTGAACTTAGGCAGCCTAGCTCTGGAAGCCTCGTTTGTAACCACTAAGCCCTGCAGCTTCTCTGCAGGGATCTGAGGGGTTTCTTCCTTGCTGTGATCTTTCTCTTTAGTAAGCTCCTCTCACGCCCCCCCCCTCCCCCACAAGCCACTTGGGAGGTTCCAAGGCTGCACTGGGGGTGACAGGGACCTCTCTGGCCTTGGCCACTCATGGAGCAAGATGAAGAGGGCAGCCACACCTGGCATCCATGTTCTTCTGCACCCCGACACATCTCCCAAGATGAACCCAGATGTTTGGAGGCTTTTTCTACAGACCCTGTGGAAGGGGAGAAGCAGCCTGTGACTGTTTTTATCACTGTAACTTCTGTAACGTCTTGCTGGTCACATGAGCTTCCCCAAGGCCATCTGGGGGACAAGGACAAAGCCTGCCCCAGATAATCCCTACATTGTCAGTGGCTTGATGTTCACTCACATCTTTCTGTCAGATTCTGGTCCCCCCGGTTTGGGATTGCCAAAAAATGGAATTAAATGCAGGTTTCTCTGCCTTTAGGAAAACCTGAAATGCAAAAAGATTGACATTTGAAGACAAGCTGAGAAATGGAGAAATTATTAATCCACTCCTGAAAAATTGTTTGCAAAGCTCCTTTAAGTAGCAGGAGAGTCCCTCAGAAAAACTATTGATTCTTTTTCTGCCTACAAACACTGACCCCCAAAGATAAGGGGTGATTACTCTGCTGCCAAAGGATAGTTTTCCAGTGAGATTTTTTTTTTTTTTGCATATACATTTCTATTGTTTTTCTGCTTATGAAACTTATGCTTATTATGAAACTCCAAACAGAAAAGAAATAATACGGAAAATGAATTTCCCTGGTTGTCTCCCTTTCAGCCATTTTCCTCCACAGGGGTCATAGTCCCTCCCCCAGTGCCTGGAGTGAGGTCTCAGGGCAGGGTTGTAAGCACAGAGGTACCTTCGTGGCCCACACCCCCATCAGGACACAAGGTGGAGGTCCTGCACTGGCATTTTTTATGTCTGATTCCACTTACATACATCTTTTCAGAAACACATTTTGTTGAGTAAAACCAGGAACAGCCAGGACCCTGCCACTGTATGATCAGATCACTAATGTCTGTGGAGTGACGAGCAGTCGCTGACTCTAGAGCTCCCTGTTTTTAAGCAAGGGAAGACCGAAGTGACACAGAGCTAGGGAAATGAGCCTTCAGAACATATCTGAACTGCCACAAAATCTAAAAGGGCCACAAAGACCATCTGCCACTGCCACCAATCCCTTCTGGGGACAGCCTGGGCTGCTTTTAAACTTCTCCCACCTCTGCTGGAATCTGTGTTTCGTTGCCATGTTTATTTTTTGTTTGGGTTTTTTTCTCATTTTCTTTTCTTTTACTTTTTGCTGTTATTGATTGATGGATTGAGACAGAGTCTCGCTGTGTCACCCAGGCTGACGTGCAGTGGCTCGATCATGGCTCACTGCAACCTCCACCTCCTGGGCTCAAGTGATCCTGCCACCTTAGCCTCCAAGTAACTGGGACTACAGGCATGTGCCACCAGGCTAGGCTAATTTTTGGAGACACGGGGTGTTGCTGTGTTGCCCAGGCTGGCTTGTTTATTTTTGACAGATGGGTCACTGCACCAATAGTTGCATGCTGTGTTTGCTGGTGGTGAGATGATTGTCCCAGCCTCTCCCATCCCAGTCCGGGGTCCCCAGAAATAGGTGTTCACTTTCACTGAAGCTCCTGCCATTTGAGGCCAGGCACTTTCTCCTTGGCTGCCTCAGTCATCGTAAACAGAGTAATCAGGTTTCTGGAAGGGGCCCTGAGGCCTTCTTGGCCTGTGAATCGTTTTCTTGTGCCTGCCTGAGATGTACTTTGTCTGTGACTGTCCCTGTAAAGCCACCCTGCAGTTTTCACAGCCACCTTGGAGTTTATTTAGTGCCAGTGTATCATCCCTGACTTGGGATGATACACGTTGTTTTTATGGTTTC